ACAGAATGGGAAGAAGCTCATGGTCACATTCACGTTGTCGACACTTGGGGAGCACCAAGCAATCTTGCCTTTGTGGGTGCCTGCCCTGAATGTGTGGGGGCACCCCGGTTGGATAGGGGAGGGCAGGGCAAGCTCATGAGCCCAAGCCATAGTCCACGATGGTGGTCCAGGGGAGGACCATTCCTGCCATGGGCTGTTGTGCACAATGTCTTCAACCCAACACCATTCCAACACCCCATTTGGGGGGGGGGGGCTGGCTCTCTTCTACGGTTGCCAAAAAGTCTTTCCCTCCTAGCCACAGACGTGCTGGAAGATAAAAGGAGCGACCCGTGCCATATGAACCTGCAGGTGGTGGCAGACCGAGCGATGGCCAAAGGCTCTTGACCCCTTCTTGCCTTTTCGTAGCGACTCCTGGCTGATCAACCTTTGAGACACTCAGTTTCTCCCCCCACCTTATTCTTACAAATCGGCAGAACCACAGACGGTGACAGAGCCACAGAAGCAGCACAAGGGGTTTCTCTACCTAAGTTTAGGGCCTCTCTGCCCTGCCGCCTCCCTGAAAGCATTTCCTGAAGCCATTCAATGTTCTGCTTTAAATCTGTCACACATCACCGGATCATGACCTGTTTAGTTCCCCTAAGCTCAGCACTCGACAGCGGCACGCGGGTAAGGAAAAAAGATAAATCTAAAATGCCCAGGCTTTGTTTTCTCCACTTTGTGGAAGGGAAAGCCAGGCTGGAGCGAATTACTCCACCTTTTCTGCTGCTCCTCCTGAAACTGCTGCTGGGTCCTGGTCTGTTTTTCTTCGGCCTCCTTCAGTTCTTCCTCCAGCTGCTTCTTCCCCAAGAGATGCATCTGTTGGGAGTCCTTCAGCTTCTGTTGCAGCTCCACAATCTGGAAAGGAGAGAGAGAGAGATTATTGAACAGGACAGCAGGAAGGTTCATATGACGTTTCACGATTCCCGCAGAGGAGTAGGTGGATGGGGCACTTCTCTTACAGACAGAAAAGGAAAGCCGCCGTGTGGGTCCTGCATGGACGTGAGAGGCCTCTCTCTACCTTGTGCTCGTTTGAGGGCTTCCACTCCCATCCTTTGGCCATAATGTTGAGGGAAGGCCCACTGGCCGGGAGACCGCAAGGAACCAGGCCGTGCAGGTCATCCCTAGGAGGAGGATGGAGACTTCGAAGCCGCTGCCTCAGGTGGCAGGGCAGGGAGGGGGACGGCTAATGCCCGGCCACCAACTTCTTGACCAGGTCCCTCCCGTGAGACATGGGCTGCTCCCGGGGATCTGGCCCACCTCGTTGGAGAGCATCCTCTTGTCTTCCTCCAAGATGCGCAGCCGGGCCTCCAGCTCCAGCGACTGGACCTGGCCCTCCGCGCAGGTCCTTGTGAGCTGCGTCTCCTTCTCCCTTGCGAATTTGAGCTCCTGGTGAAGCTCTTCTGCCCGCTGTTCTAGGAACGTCCTGGAGAGTAAGGCCATGCCCGTGAGGAACAAAAAGGAGAAGGAAGGTGCCCGCCTCCCGCTCAGCTCAACGGTTAGCAACGAGGGGGCCTTGCAGCGTTGGCTCCTTGCTGCGGGGCTAAAACCTGACACCAACACACTGCATCTGGGGTACAGCCAACAGCCTTTTTTGGGGGGGACAAAGCCAGGAGTTCATTGGGAAAAAAGGGGGGAGAGGCATCATCTGTACGAATCCCAGCGTCGGGGAGAGGAGGACAGAGCCACGGACAGAATGGGAAGAAGCTCATGGTCACATTCACGTTGTCGACACTTGGGGAGCGCCAAGCAAGCTTGCCTTTGTGGGGGCCTGCCCTGAATGTGTGGGGGCACCCCGGTTGGATAGGGGAGGGCAGGGCAAGCTCATGAGCCCAAGTCATAGTCCACGATGGTGGTCCAGGGGAGGACCATTCCTGCCATGGGCTGTTGTGCACAATGTCTTCAACCCAACACCATTCCAACACCCCATTTGGGGGGGGGGGGCTGGCTCTCTTCTACGGTTGCCAAAAAGTCTTTCCCTCCTAGCCACAGACGTGCTGGAAGATAAAAGGAGCGACCCGTGCGACCTGAAACTGTGGGTGGTGGCAGACCGAGCGATGGCCAAAGGCTCTTGACCCCTTCTTGCCTTTTCGTAGCGACTCCTGGCTGATCAACCTTTGAGACACTCAGTTTCTCCCCCCACCTTATTGTTGCAAATCGGCAGAACCACAGACGGTGACAGAGCCACAGAAGCAGCACAAGGGGTTTCTCTACCTAAGTTTAGGG